GACTCGTCAAAAATCAGTGAAAACAAATTCCATGCAAAACACCCAAAACATCTTTTCGGCTAAAATTAATTCCAGCTAAAATAAAGTATTTTACAGTTGTTTGAAATATGGGGAGAATGTATTCCAATCAATTTTTAACTTATTTAACCCTGTATAAAAAAACAACAACATACATGATAGCTGATTTTTTTTTGAATAATCGCAAACTGAATGTAGCATTTGCTGTTTGGCTGTTCAATATGTGCACAGACCTCATTAGTTATTCATTCTTTGGTTGTCAAAAAAGTCTTTGTATTGAGTGATTGTCTCTTGATTGAGACCTACATTTTTCTTTTAATCTCCTCTAGTTAGGAGTTATCGGTATTCTCTATTTTGAGGAAAAAGTGCCTTGATTGCTGCTAGTAATCTACTTAATAATAATATCAGTACAGTGTAGTTGGTTGGTTTATTGAAATACTACAGAACCACTAAACATTCACTGTTTTCAATTCCTGTTCTGATGTAGTTCAAAAACAGACTTATCCTGTAGTTCAGACACACCTCATCTGATCAAATTGAAACTTCATACACATATCATATTGCTTTAGATACAAATGCACGTTCATTTGTTTCATGATCTGATTCAAGATGGCTGACTGGCGATCATTATAATGTTAAAATTCATTAAAATCAACCATTTCTGAACCAGGTCTTGATCATGTACATGTATGGATGGATTTCGTTCACACTTACATACAGTAGACAAATGCTATGTTCACACAGCAGCATTCTATCGGAGCCAAACTACTGCTCCTCCCATGGATTAACGCGTTCATACGGTCAGGAGCCGAACGAGAGCCGAGATCTGCCAGAGTTCGATTCAGTTCGATCAGAGTTGAACGGAACAGTGCTCTTGAATAATTAGTGACTGAAAACAATTTTAGTATCGTGCTTGTGTTTTTTCTTTACATGGCATTATGCTGTTGAGCTAGGAGAAAAAAGAGCCTGAGCATGGAGGTAGAAAAGACAATGGTATTATGATTTAGGTACTAGTATCTCGAATAAACAGGAAACATGGCAGCTAAAATGCGTTTAATACAGCCTATATTCGCTCAAGTTATTGTCAGCAAAATTACCATTTTGTAACTATTCAACTGTAGTAATATCTAAACTACTAGGAAGAATCACAGATTCTCTCTATCTATCATAGAGGGACTATGGAAGAATCTAAACCTACCAGGAACACGTCACCGTACCGCGATCGCTTCTACAATTTTTATCTTTAGTGTCTTTAAAAAGTTTCCGTTCAGTCGTTCTTTCAAGTTTTTGTCGCATAATTTCGTACGCCATTTTTTTGTTTCCTGCTGAGCTATCAATCTATCACAATAATTCGTTACTATATATTAGGACGGTACCTCTTATTCAAGCCGGAAATTGCGTGAAATTATGAAAGATGTTGTCTCCGCCATAATTGAAATGAGAGGTTACTCGAAGAAAATGATTGAAAGCGTGATTTCGGCTCGGATAGTTGGGCCCCGATGCGTTTACACGATCGGAGCCATGTTGGGACTCAACCCTATTAGAGTTCAACCCCAAGGGTTTAGTGGAGCCGAACTTGGCTCGAGCCGGCTCGAGTCGAACGCGTTTACACGGCCATTTTTGCTGGCTCGAGCCATTGGGCTATGATAAAATGCTGTTGTGTGAACGTAGCAATTGTGGGACCTTGATGCACATAATTTTGTTTGTCAAATCAGATTCAAGTTCATGTCATTTGTTCCATTTTCTGATTCAAAATGGTGGATTCATTTCATGACATCACAGATAAATCTAATTGTACACCATGCATAATTTACTATAATTTTCATGACAGGATGCAAAACAATGTGTTCTGTAAACCACTTTAAAGATGTTCAACACATTTTCATAAAAACATTTTTTCAGGCTGGGGGAGATTATTATAATATAATTAACTAAAACCACTTTCATAAAACATTACATCATAAATGAATGCGATTCAAAAGTATTCAAGATTGTAATTGAAACTTACACAGCTATGCAGTGACCTTAAACACCCC